TTCACGGCTGTTAGTTGCGCGTCTCCGTATCTTCCTCCCGTCTCGTCTCCTCTCGTCTCGCCTATGGATTGTTTGGATTCCATCTGTCAAAAACAATAATCAATCGAATGATTTTCCAGTTGGTCTCTCGGAGAGGAGGACCTTAAGCTATAATGTCCAGTTGGTTCGGAAGAACCCCGAGTCTAGAATATTACTTACTACACATGTGAATCGGCATAACAAGTTCAGGTTCAGGGGAAAAGAAGTCAAAACAAGGATCCAAGCATTCGAACTTCCTTCCAACTCCCTCCTCAACTTTTCTTCGTCTGGATTGTTTAATTTTTTATTTTTATTTTTATTTTTTTCTATTTTCCATCAGTTCTAAAATTATACCCAATTGGTGCTTAGCTTATGCTCCTAGGGACTGGACTCATTTCCTGGCAAGCCATCATCCGCCATCCCCTCCACTTTGCAGCCCCTCTTCCTCTTACTTTCATTATTCTCTCCGGCTTACACTCACTCACTCACTCATTCACTCACTCCCTCCCTCTCGCTTTACGCTTCCCTCTCTTTCTCACCCACCACGGCTTGACTAGCCCACCACCAGTCCCCAACCATTCATCCTAACGTTCTTCTGTCATCCTTTTTCGTCCCCAATCCTTTAGCTCCTTCCCCCCCCGTTTCTCTCTCTAAACTAAAGCACCAAGAGATGGGCTTTTCCAGATAAGGGCAGTGCGCTGACCACTCAGCATTTCCCTCCTCTTCTGATCTTCCTCTGTCCCCTTCCCCCCGGATTCTTCTCTCACTCTTTGCACGCTTCCCCTCTAATCCTGAGAGGCTCTGACCACCGCTTGTCTCGATCAGCTCGTTCTAGAATGTTGAGCGTCGGTGAAGATCATCAGCTGGATCTGTGAAATTATATAATTAAATTCGCGCGTGCGATGGACGCCAAGAATTCCCCTCACTATCAGCCAACGGCGCGCTCTCTGGCTACCGACCACGAGCAGGTCCTGCCCCTGCTGGCAAAACAACCTGCGTGGACGACACCGAACGCTGTTCATCCAGTTGCTATTAATAACCACCCTTATCCCCTGCTCCATCATCCATATACCTATTCGATCGCAACGCCCATTCCTGGTCCAGTACCGGGTCCTGCGCCGCCGCTGCCACCATCTCCGATCTCGTCATTACCACCGCAACAACAGCATCAACAACTACAACATCAACTACAACAACCGCCGCCATTGCCACCACAACCCTCCGCACCGGTCCACGGCAGCGCGCCATCCCTCGCGACTGCAGACTCAACCCGCCAAGATGCAAACAAGAACGGAGTGACCAAGGCGCGCAAACCGCGCAAGACCAACAATGCCTCGGGGGGGAAATCAACGCTGTTCTGGGTGCATACCGACCCCAAGTCTGTGTCGGAAGGCACCAGGGAAGAGACTCTCAAGCGCATTCGTTCTCATGTGATGTCCGAGCATAATCGCAAGAAGCGACTGGAAAACACCAAGCGGTACAAGAGCAAGACCTGGAAACACCTCGCTTTTCAACCGGTAGAGACAACCGCCTCCAGCTCGGCGGCGGCGGCAGCAACCTCTGCCTCTCCCACGAATCCCTCACCTAAGCAAACCGTTACTGAGTCCTCTTTTGGGGCTCGAATCACCTCCGAGTCGCCTCCCCCATCCTCCTCCTCGTCAGCTTCATCATCACCCGAACAGCGGCATCGAGAGGAACCGCAAAATGCGTTGGTGGTCACGGAGGCGAGCAGTTACCCGGTTGTATCAGCGGCAGCCGTGAACAGTTATAGCATTGACGCGCCAACGTCGAACGAACTCTCGCCTGTGCAGGTGGCATCTCCGTGGACTCTGGTGGGTCAGGGAGGCAGTGACCCTTTCAATACCTCGCATACGGTGTTAACGGACCGCATGTCGGGGCACCTCCAACACTGTAAGTGTAATTGACCGATGATCTGGTGTGCATGAATCTAACAGTGTCATCGCAGTCTTTGAGTTGACGCAGATATCATACCCGCTGCAACGCCGGTATGGGCCCAAGCTGAGGGCCCACTGGGCTGCGTTAGTCCAACAGGACCCAGCCTCGTTGCATGCTTGCATCTGTGTCGCAGCATCCAATACTGCTTTGTCGCAAGGAGAATTGCCCCTGAGAGACCCGAATGAGCGGCGATCCAGTGCGCTACTTCTCGATACCTTCCATCATCGAGGTGAAACAATTCGCCTGGTCAACGAAGGTCTTTCTGACCCGATCAAAGCGTCCAGTGACGAATTGATCGCTGCCGTCTCTATTCTCCTAACCATTGAGGTATGTGCCTTCTCCCGATGCCCAACCAGGACGATGCTAACCAATTAGATTGCTTCCGGCAATGCTGATTACCTGAAGATCCACCTTGCCGGGTTGCGGCAGATGGTCGGTATGCGGAACACCTTCGCAGACGTGCCACCTGATGTTCGATTCCAGATTACATGGTCAGTTCCACTGCACCAACATTTTGTCCGCTTATGTTCTGACTTGAAATAGGACGGATATTCGAGTCGCATGCATGGCTTCCACCAAGCCCATATTCCCTTTCATTCGTTACGCCCGTCCTCTGCATTTAGCACTTCAGCCTCCCAGCAAAGATCTTGAGCTTACCGCCTCGCGGTTGATACAATTAATTGAGATACCCGGCATCTTCGGCGGTGCCATGTCTAAGATAATATGGGACCTGGTTGAGCTAACCTGGTACTGCGAATGGATCAAGAGTGGGCCAAGCTACCAAGACTTTGACGAGGAGACCGAGGATTACTTCAACACTGAAGTGCTCCACGTTGAATACGCCCTTCATACGGATCGCTTCACCGCCACCGGCGAAGTTAAGGGCGATGCCACCATCGAGGGCTGCGTTCGACTGGCTTGCTTGTTATTCCACAACAACGTGATCTGGAATTTCTACCCGGTTGTCGCACCGGTCTTCCCCAAACCAATCATCAACCTTCGCCTGGCATTAGAGTCGACGATGAAAGCCGGGTATTTCGAGCTGTGTCGCGACGTCTTGATCTGGATTCTATTCATCGGAGCCACCAGCTCCGGCCTGCTCCCTGACCGAGCCTTCTTTGTGAATGAGCTCGCAATCGTGCTGAGGCAAGAAGGAATCCAATCGTGGCAGGAGCTCCGCGCACTTCTGCTGGGATTTTTCTACGTGGACCGGTCCTATCTCCAGCCGCTACGGGAGTTGTGGGATGAGCTCCACACCATGCCGGTCGTATCGCCGGAGTGTATATAAGGGGCCTTTCTTCTGCCGGGGGTTGATACTTATGTTTATATATAGGGGCTCTACAGCATGTCGGTTTCATATGCACATGTTCTATGTATGATATACTAACGAGATGAGACATGGTATATATGATTCAAGGTCGTGATTTATTTGGTGTGCCATACCCCCCTTTGCTAGCATAATGTCTGTTTATAATATTATCCCGGATCATACCACCAGTTCACCCGTGTCTGCTTCCATCGATTGATGCAACCCAGATTGATTGGCAGTGAAACCAGCCAAGAACCAACTCAATCCGCAGCAGCGCCGAGCAAACTCCTGCAGCACCCATCCGCCTCTTAAGGCTAGAAGGAAGAGTGAAAAATCCCTCAGGCCACATTTTTTTTTTCGAGGACTAGACCAAGTCACAACCCAATCTTAAGCCGAAAACAACCTCAAAAACCAGAGCCCAGAAGGTCTTGGAAGATGAACACATCCCCAGCAGAATTATGCTCAACCAATTTCCAAACCACAAAAAACAAAGAAAAACCGAACCCTCCTCTCATCCCCGACAACTTCCGACCAGAGAAATGCCTCTAAGTAATCTACCTAGTAGGTATGGTAATCTACCCTGTAGGTAAGGTACGGAGTAGGTAGTCTCGAAGAAACGAGCGGGCGCGGCGCCAGGCCGGACTTGGGGTGGACTAGTTGCAGGGGCAGTATCGGCACACCGCACCTGTCATTGGAAGTTTCGAGGTGCTCTCCCCGATTTTGCTCCGCCCGACCGAATCCCGCCCGATCTCCGACCTTGCCCCGAGAATCCTTTTTCCGCGAAGTATTGTAGAAGGAAAAGAATTATTGAGTTGACTGAGCGTGGTATTATTATGCCGCCCTCTCCCCCCATCCCCCCAGGCGCCCCGTCTCTTCGGGGTTGAGTGGTTTTCTTTCTCTCTCTCTCTCTCTTTTTTTTTTTTTTTTTACTCTTCGTTCTCTTACAGCTTTGCAGTTCTTCGTCCGCTACAAAAACTTCCGCTCTAGCTCAGCTGTGGTTCTTGCTCACTCTTGCTATGCAATTGCTATGCAACTGCTATACAAACTAACCACCTGACTAACCTAGGTCCTCTAAGTACAGTCCCAAGAAAAGACAGGACGATCAGCACGGACAGCCTTACCTACCCACCTCAACTTGGGTCTACTTCTTCCTACTCACTTATCAGTTATCACTCGATTGCTACGCTACATCTGTGGGCCTACCCACCACCACTACCATGAGGTCACCGTTGGCCCTTGCTCAATGGCTCGGTGCCAGCTTTCTTTTCGTCCAAGTTCGCTGTCGTCGTCGCTCTTCAATGGGGTTCGCTCCCTGCCTACATACCTACTTGCCTTACTTCCTCGTGGCGGGTCTAGTAAAAGTACAGGGGGCTGTGGTTACGGCTGAATTGGACGGGATTGATTATTCAACGAAACTGACTGACTGACTAGTTCACAACTCACCGACTAGGCTATGATTGTGCAATTGCTGTCTGGAGGCTGGCAGGGGCCGCTTGAAGCAGGCAGGCAGGCCGGCAGGCAGGCATAGTCATGCCAGAAAGCTTAAGCTTAGTGGAGGCTCGGCCCGGCCTGCGCGGTGATCGCCCGAACTATCACCTGTCACCGCCGTGCTCCGCCCACTCGTCGAGTCGACGAACAACGCACCGCGATTTAACTGCTACGCCGCGACGACACCACTTGTCTCGGCGTTGAGATGATGGAGCATTCCCTTTGCCGGACAACACTTTCAGCAACCTACCGCAAGCTCGATCTATAATCTTTCGCCGGGTCAAGCGTATGTCGATAGTCATTTGCCACAAGCAGACTCGCTGACACGCATGATACGGATGACTGCAGGTAATGCTTGCTGCAGTAAGTCAGACACCCTACACCAATTCAACCACTTGCTAAAATCACTTCCATCATAGTCATTCGAATCATTCATTGAGCAACTGTGCATATCAAAAACAAAACTCCAAATCATCGTCCACGACAGCGGACTGCCTCATTATTACCCGATCGGTTATTTCCATATCCAGTTGGAATCAACAACAGTGACAAAACAATTAATGTACCGGACAACAACCCCGTGCGAAGGCCGACACTGCGAACCATTCGCTAAACAGGACGGTCCTACATGAATGGGTATCAGAATTATAACAATGGCATGTTCATCGGAACATAGCAAGGCCGCTTGCAGGGCCTGGGACTATACGAGTACTGCACCCCCTTAGACCGTCTCGCGAGCAGTCTTCTGGCGAGAACGAGCGGTCGGAGACCACGGGAAGTGGGCGACAGGGATGATGAAGAAGCTGTTGCTGCTGTCGGCAATACCCGCCAGGGCGTTGTACCAAGCAGCGAAAGCAGCCAGGAAGCCGAAGAAGCCACCGGCCTTGATGACAGGGGTGTTGACCTCGTTGGTATCGTTGCGCTGCAGGTATCCAATACCCAGGAGCAAGAAGGTCAAGTCCAAGAAGAAGAACAGCAGGAAGAATGCAACGGTCGAGCGCAGGGTGCAGAACAGCATGATGGTGGTGAAGATGAACCAGCCCTGTGGAACAGCAGTCAGCACGAGGTTCGCGGTTTGCGACAGGTTTTCTGCGGCACTTACCATGAGGAAGAGACCCATCGAGTTGTAGAACATCGGAGCACCGCCAGCCGATTCAATCGCAGACTCGATGTCGAATCCACCGGGAGTCAAAATGATCGCGAAGGAGATCCAGAAACCACCATAAGAAGACAGAGCAGTGGCACCGAAAGTGTTTCCAACCGCCATTTCCCTGAATGCAGTGTGAGCGAGGACGATTCAAGATGAGATGATAAGGGAATGCAACATACCACATGCCAGCAAGCAGCTGAACGAGACCACCATATCCAAAAGCCAGGCCGACGACGATGTTGGGCGCGGAGATACCCCGGGTTCCCATGTTGACCGCGCTCAGGACGAAAGTGGTGAGGGCGAAAGCGCAGAGACCCAGAGGAGCCGGGTTGGCGAACTTGCGACCTTCGACCGACTTGTACAGACCAGGCTGGAACTCTCCTCCGAAGGGACGCAAGTTGGCCTCGGCGGTGTTGACGTGAGCCATCGGACCATAGCCGAAGCGCGCAGCAGCTCTAGCCGTCTCCTCCGCAGTCATCTCGTGCCTGAGGGGAGCATTTCCAGTTCCGTTGCTCTCGGTCTCGGGACCGATGTCCTTCTCCAAGGTAGGGTTTTGCTCGACCGACATATTGATTGATTGATTGATTGAACCAAAATCTATGGTTTATACAGGTATAAGGGGGTATCAATTGATCTCGAGGAGAAAACCAAGATATCTCAGCTGGCTGAGAGGTGGAGGAAGAGTATTATAGATGAAACAGATGAGGGGAGGGGGAGGAGGAAAGGAAATATATGAAGCCACACAGCACTGCTGGGCAGATGAACAAGAAGATCTCTTGGGAAGGTCTGGGACCGTGCAAGAGAAAAAGAGGAATAAATAACAGCAATGAGAGGGGAAGATGAGAGGGGGAGAGGCGAAATAAGAAGGGCCCCGAGGGAATTGGAACGAGGCGTGGTGCTTGGATGGACGGACGGGCGCGACACCACGGACGAGCGAAGGTTGCAGGGGAGGAGCCAGGGAGAGGAAGGACCGTTCGTTAGCAAAGTTTAGCTTGGGTAAGTGGACTCTTTCCCTTTGGTTGTGATTATTTTTTTTTTTTTGATTTTTTTGGTTGATTTTATTTTTTCTGTTTTTGATCTTTGGGGAAAGACCTCGAAGGGGGAGGACAGCCAGTCTCTTTTTCGAGGGGGAGAAAGTCTCACCGTTGAATTTTAGGCAGTGTGTGACTGTGATTATTATGATTTTAATAACATTATTATTACGGTAGTATTATTACTACAACGAGTCAATGACCCATCATGCTTTGCTCGTGATGGAAGGCCGGGGTGGAGCGAGCCAAATTAGTGTTGGTCTTCTAAAACGATGTGCAGGAATCCACCTGACGGGCCACTCCCGTATGTCGCTTTTGTCGCTTTGCCTAAACCGACGGACTGACTCTAGGGAATGTGTGGTGTGCTCGACGGAGTGACCAGATTCGTCAATTGAAACTGGTGACAGTCAAATCGAAATCTATCAACTGCAGGGCAGCAAGCGGGGGAATTGGGGATTGGGGTCTGGGGTCTGGGGGAAGGAAGAAGGACCGCTGGCTCGTCTCAACAGAAACCCAAAGCAGGGTCAGGATGAAGGGGAAAGTTTTGGCTTCCATTCGTCCAGGTTGAGAGAGAGAAAGAGCGCAGGCAAAAGAACAAAAAACAAAAAAATAAAAAGGTTGGAAGGGATTTTCCCAACCTTACAGCTCTAATACCGATTGACTTTTCATGCCTGGGGAAACCAAGCCTGGAGGCGTGGGTGGAGCCCTAAGAAGCGCCCGAGGTCCGGAGATTGCACCAATCACCACCTCAAAACCAGGGCCACCGGCATGGCCATTGGCAGACGGCCTCCTCCCCGCCGGATGACATGGAGATGACATGACTGGTACGGTATTGTAACGGATAGACGGACGCACCGGAGATATCTCCAGTTGTCCCAGTTGCTCCAGTTGCATGCCATCTTTTTGTCTACTGGTACCTACCAATCTTTCCCTCCTCTCTCAGCCCGCCCATGGGGTTTGGAGAAGTCCCAGATTCCCGCTCGATGCGGAATGCGGAGTGCTTCTGACTTTGGTGATCAGGACACAATTAGCGGCCTTTGTTTGGAAGGGTTTTTTCCTCTCTGGAAAGTCCCCAAAAGTCAGACACATCTGATGGGGATGGATGGTCGTCCAAATGGCCACCAATTTATGCCTCAATCTAAATTCCTGCTCTTAGTCTACTTTGTGTACTGTACTACGTTAGACTCCGACGGGCGGCTAGGACCCTGGAAAAGAAACCACTTACGCACGCAAAAAAGTCCACTTATTAATAATCTACTTTCTTTAACTAGTTCGTACTGAGCAATTAAGCAGACCATCCTCCCGGAAGCTGCACAGCTTGACAATACTGCCGAGTGGTGATACTGGTGAGTGCGCTGATGTCCCTTCACCCTCAAACTGATCCCACCAGATCCTAAGACTCGTTCGTCCCTTGGGCCCTTCGGATGGGGCTGATGGGCTTCTAACCATGGCACTTCTCAATCCAAGGTACCAACCAGGTTACTTCCATCAACGCGAAGATTTGGTCCATAATTGCGACGGTGGTGGCGGGCAAGGGTGTCCCGAACCAGACTTTTCGGTGTGTCCCTTCCGTCCGAACGGGCAAGATGGTACCCGTTATGCACTTCACAGTCGCAGCTGGAGACAAAGATCTTGTGCCGGAAAATCTTGCAACTATTGTTAAGTTACGGAGTACTGTACAGTTCACTGCAGTTTTGTACCTGCGCTTGAACCGCCCCGGGTCCGGCGCGCCCACAGGCTAAAATGCTGGCTAATGCGGTTAATTGGGTCCCTTCCCTTGCTAATGGCTAGGCTAGGTACTACTGCTATGGACCGCGGCGAAGGATGCAATTGCAGGCTGTAGACTTAAGACCAAAGACAGACTGAGTGGGTGGTGGCCCCCGGGTGGTGGGACTTTTCGCGTGCGCGCGGGTGGTGGTGCTGCAACTGCGACGGGGCCTTTTTTGGACCACTACGGTACGGATACTCTCGGTGACTTTAACTGCTACTGTCTTAGCCGGTCGAGTGTCAAGTTTTCTGGTAGGTTGCTACTGTTTGCTAGACTGTCATTTGTGTGTTTGTGTGTGCTAGAGCTGCAGTGGTGGATCGGCTCCCCGAACCATACCACGTTGACTACAGTCTACGGAGACTAGGTATATACTTACCGTACTTCCCGAGTCTTGAGACCGAGAGGGCTTGCTTGGTTTGGGCCTAGATATGGCGGGGGCGAAAGGGAACCCAGTTAGTACTGGAGTAGATTTTAATGTATGCACTTTGGTGCATAGTTAGGGGATGGTGGGTTTAGTTTAATCATCCTTTTCGTGCGCCTGGTAGTTATAACTTGTGTATGATTGTCGATAGAGGACGTACTCCGTAGCGTGGCTGAGTTACATGTAGGTAGATCGCATGCAGTCCGTTGCTTTACATAGGACGTGCGGGTATGAGTTAGTTAGCTAGCTTGTAAGTATGTGTAAGGACTGTGTTTAAGAGTAAAGTCGGATCGTCTCTGCCAGCTGTCGCAGCGAGGTCGATCGGTTGACCAAGAGAGTTAGTTTGCGGTCGTCTGTCCACCAACTTTAGTTAACTAGTTACACTTTACACTTTACTAATCAAACCACAACCCAGAAACGCTGGTGGACAGTGGACAGTGGACAGTACTCCGTACAGTAAGACCGATCAGCCTCAGAACTTAAGAGGCTTAGCAGCTTAGCAAGCAGCTCTACTGCGTTGGAATGAAAGCTCCGGGCGTGAAGGTGCAGTACATCGTAAGTCTCACCAGTGCACCATCGGCTCCAGAAGGGAGATTTCCCCGTCAGACTAAAACACTTCTACCGGTAGGCAGTGTATCGGGGTCCCATCCGATAATCTTTTTTTTTTCTGGTGTTGTTGTTCCATTGACAATGGGCAGGCAGTGTTTAGGGCACAGACACAGACAGTCTTACCTTTAACTAATGACTCTATGTTTCTCCCACGGAGACTCGAATCATCCACCACCTTAATTAACTTTTTTTGATGGTGTGTTCGTTTCCGTCGTACTTGTCTCGAGTGGTGAGTGTTTGCGGCAAGGAAAAGGAACCTTGAACCGGGTCGAGACTCCACTCTCGGCGACCGTTTCTGCCGCGCTCGTCGACTTTTGTCTCTCTTTGGTCAAAACTTGGCGGAGAGTAGCACGCGGGCGGGCGGGTTCGGCGGGCTCATCGTGTTCCAGTTGCCGGCCACCACCACCACCACCAGAAACGCCAGCTCATTAATTTTGATTGCTATAATCTATCGGCAGGCGGCAGTCGCAGAATCAGGACGAAGACCCCCTTTTCTATCCCTTCATTTTCACTGTCAGAGCAGCATGGCGTACGGGAGTCCAAACAAGCTCAGACAGACAGGAGGCCCGCTCGGGGATCGCAATCCACACCGCAGGCTGTGGCCATTGCTCGGTCGGTCATCAAGGAACTGTCAAGGACTCAAGGTAGATGTTGATGGCCGTGTCAGTCAGTGCATGGAGTCAGATCTCTTTCGCGATCACTATACCTAGTAGTAGCCACCCACTACAGAATGATAGGCCAATCAGTGATCCACCCTTCACAATTTCAAGTACTGTACAAGTACTGCACAAGTAGTTGCTGAGGACTTCAAAGCAGTTAGGAGGTCTGCACCTGATTCTCCCTGCCAGCGTCCGTCCGTCAGCTGTCCAAAACGAAAGACACCCAAGGGTGCGAGATCAACAATGGCATGGCTACATGCATACACAGTAAAATAGCATCAGTAACAAATCACCCTTAATTTGCTTTCTGGTGTCCTTATCCCGGTAGTATTGTCTGATAATTAGGGTGCGCAACAAAGCTACGTAGCATGCACATTCTTCCCCCCTTCGGTTCTTTTACTGACAGCCGTGTGCTTGATCATATCAACACGAGGGTTTCTTTTCCCGCGGGAAGAATAATACGCCCGCCCGGCGTATGCCTGGCCTAGACTACTATACAGTTACCTCCTGAGCATATTCGGCGGCATATTTGTTACCTGAGCAACATTCAGTCGAGTCGCAGGCATGTCCTTCGCTTACCTTGCGAACCTCGAACTTTATCATAAACATTGGGAATTGTCTTCATCGTTTTCAGAATAGAAAGTGTCAGCAGCGCTGTCCACCTTGGGTAAATTTTTTTTTTTTCGTTTTATCGCATCACCAAAAAATTGTCTAGACTTCTAGACTTCTAGACTCCTGCTAACTAACGCTAGCTCCTCGGATGAATCCCCCCTCCCCCTCCAAACAAGGATTGTACGGTTGTACCTGGTACCTACCGCACCATTCGCAAACCCTGCGGTAGCAATACGCCACGGAAGTAACTAGCACCTAGGCCAACACCTCTAGCTACGCTGACCAGCAAAGTAGCCAGCCAAGTAGCGAGCCAAGTGGGCAGCCTGGAGAGTACAAAGGCACCCTCCTCCCGGCCCACCACTAGATGCACAAGAAAACCCGGCTCTGACTCCGGAAACATGAGCCAATCTCTGTTGGTCACTTGGTGCGAGTCCGAGTCCACTTGCACGCTTTTTCTTTGGAGTAGACTGACTACGCAGTACGTACTCGGGTATTTCTCCGGGTCGAGATCGCGTGGACCGATCGATGCATGCATGCTGCCAAGAGGAAGAGGGTCTCTTTGCAGTGCTATTTCCATCTCCCCCGTGCAAGGATTACGGCGTGGCGTCCCTTGCTTGGGTTTTGGTGCTTCGCGAGGAAGGTACTGTGCGGCTCGCTTTTTCCAGGTTGTGAAAATTATCAGCGGGTTGGAGTTGGGATCTGGGAGGGAGGATGATGAGGGAAAGCTTGGTCGGGAGGAGGATGCTCAGCTACTGAGTGAGGTACAGTATAGTACTAAATTAGCTAAGATACAGTGGTGGTGGTGCTGTGTGTCTACACTGTGGATATACAGTACAACCAGTGTACATGGTTGGTGGCCGAGGTGGAGTCGAGCTACGGCTGTGGATGCGGCGCTGGCTGGCGCTGGAGCTGGAGCTTAGATGCCAGTGCCACTACTTACCAAACTGGAGTCTCATACTAATTCATCAATGTCAATTCAGTGCACTCCGTCGTTCGGAGCCGTCCGCCACGGAAGGTGGGAATTCGAATTTCCACGCAACCGGAGATTGAGGGCTGGACTTACATTTGAAGGATGCAGTGCAATGGTCGCGCTCACGACTCTGGCTGTAAGCTAGGCAGCTAGCGAGCTGGTACTTCCGTGCGATCCCTACCCGGTAATAATCGATGAGCAGGGTTTCTGCGCCTACTGTTTTGACAGTTGTCTTGGATATTGATTAGGGGTTCACTTTCGGGTGGTTGGCTTAGGGGTGAGATTCGCAATTCGATTAGATTAAATAACTAGTGTTCCACTCCGAGGTGTGTACATGGGTATGCTGTTGTGGGAAGGTAAGCTGACTACCTAGTATTAGGTACTAGGTAGGTGAGGGTCTTTTGTTTCACTCATAGGTTGGTTGTTGAGCTAGATGTTGCTCGCTTGGTCTATACACCTACATTCTAATAGATACATACCATTGTCCTTTCAAGTGACTATTGCCTACCACAAATCAGAAAATACTGTATAGCACTGATGGAAGGATCACAGGCAGGGGAGCCCAACCCATGCACGACAGCATAGCATTATTACTCACAACCACAAACCTGCAAATGCAAGTAATGCCACCAGTTATGTGCAGATACGAAGTATACCTACGGGGTAGTACAGTACAATCCCCTCTTTTTCTTAAACCCCTAATCTCCCGAGGCATAAGACCCCATCTCACCCCAGAGGATAAGTTGGACATGATTTACACACAGACCGTATACCACAAGTACAATGCCTATAATACATGTCCACTCCCTATAGCATTACCCCATGATTCCCCACCTGGGGGGGGGGTGCAAATCCAAAGAACTGGTCAGGTCTTTACCCCGCATTAACAGGATGCGGAGTATGCCTACGTACACGTACGTACTGCTTCTGTGGGAAAGTGGAGTGGAGGAAGCAACACCACGTGAGGATATACGAGTCCCTTTTGCTTTTGCTTTTTTTTTCCCCCTTTGGGTTGGAGTAATGGACCCCAATTCCACAAGTCGGGGAATTGCCGCGGGATCCGTGTGGCTGACGGGATGGGGGGTCATTTCATTGCTATTGTGGATGTACTGTACATACAGTTCCGAATTGGTTGTTTAGAGGGACGGTGTATTGACGTAGATCTTCACGAGCAAAATACCTAATCTGTTGACCTACGTAAGTTGAAGGAGAGCACAGAGCACGGCGGAATGTCCATATACCTGTCTGGGGAAGGATATGAGATCCGAATGATGGATGGGTATGGGCATTGTTGGGGTAGGGTCGGTTGGGGCAGATCTGCGGCTGTCATGATTGCCAGCACTAAGTTACATGGACTGCATCCAGAGTATGCAAACGGACTGGCTATCGGTATCGGTGCGGGCCTGTTCGTCTGTCGTTGCGCTGGGCGGCGGGATCTACTTCTTTTTACTCATGTACTGTACTGGGTTCGGGATACATCATCCAAAAACAGGTCACGGGGTGAGGGGGATCGACGCCCGGGGGTCAGAACAAAAAGACATTCTTTCAATCTGATAGCTGATGACTTAGCGAGAACCGTATCCGCCCATTGTCCAGTATCTAGAATAGTGTCTCTTACTGAATTGAGTTTCCGTAGCCGAGAGAGCGGGACTAGTGACCTTGATTCAGACCGCGTACGGATCTGCTCGGACGATGGAAATCGTCTGACTCCTTCGCACCAACAGACCCAGCAACTTGGGATATGGTACGATACTCGCTTCCAGGACCAAGAGTTCCATGTGTCCGGTTCCCCATCAACCTGATACGGACCGAAACCCGGGACTCGGGGAGGACCTGGAATTCTGGGGCTGCGGCTGGGGGAGTTTACCCCGCCACAAGGGAAGCTCGGCGTAGGCATCCATGGGTCGTGAATGAGACAACCACTGAAAAGATGACGAAGATGGGATGTTTGACCTCGGGTCGGCGGAGCGGAGATAGCAACACATAGAGCTTTCCCTCGGGGTTTGGCCTTGAAATTCTGGTGGTGATTATCTTGGTGCTCTCCCAGAGACGAATCGAACGTAAGCCAAGACTGGAGCAGACTGCAGCTCGGGCTCCACTATCGCCCGGCATGAGCGAAAACCTTCTTGTCCGTATTTTTCTTTCGCGATACCATCTGGAAGGCTTCGCCACCATCAGCCCATTCCCAGCCAGAGACAAGGATTCCGACGGGTGCCTTGCATGTTCGATGCCACTGGCTGGAGATGTGGTTCCAGAAGCTCCAGCGAAGGTCTTCTAGTTCAATAGTGCCTGCGCCAAAAGGATAAAGAAGTCCTTGTGCCCAGGGTACCAAGATAAGCCAGATAACCAATTTTGGCTTTGGATCTTAGGTTTAGGGCCCGCTTGAAAATGTCCACCTCTTGCGATGATGCAATTGTGTGATGGGTTTCTAGGCTTGCCTGACTCCAGTCTTTCACTGCTGGGATGAATGGCTTCATGTGTTCCTATTTTTTGGACCGAGAGTTTTTCTTGTGGTGGGGGTGCTTCCTCATACAGACAATTGGAAGTGCATATCCCCGATGTCGGGTTGGTTCTCGGGGAAGCGGATGGTGGCGGACAGAAAGAAGAAGAAGAAGGAAAACAGAACTCCGGCTGGTCCACACCAAGGGGAAAATCCTAGCGGAGTGAAAAGAATCGTCTTCACTCGCCTCCAAAAAGCCTGCGGTTCGCATGAGAAGCGCGAACTCAGATGAGAACCCGCCGACTCCATAGTTCATGCAGCAAGCCAGTAGTAGCATGCATGGGCAGCATGATTCGAGCTCTAGTCAACCCATGTGCTCTGTAGATCCTCGCCTCTTGTCCACCTCCCGCGCGTGTGGAGGGTCTGAGGCGCTATCGCGCGATGCCAACTTGGAAGCTGCTCAGCAACATCATGGGCGAGCTAGACTGACTTGTGAGTAGCCGGGAGCTTGTTGCCGAGTTCCCAAGCCGTCATTCGTGAAGATCGCCGGGTGGGTTGGTGTGTGGTGGGGTGGAAGATCTGCAGTATCTATACGGAAGAAGCGGTCTGTCGAAGGATTCAAGGAACGATGTCGACTGGGATCGAACTTGTTCGTGCGCATTGATTCTTTTTTTCCCCTTCGATAGTTTGTGAGCCAAGGTGGTAGTACGGGCTCACCGACTATGTTGATGGTTCAAGAGATGGTTTTGAGGTCACAGGACATTATCAGTCCGAGAGATGCAAGGTACAGTCACTGTTACTGCCTGGCCTTGCTTGTTTGGGAAGCTTGGCCTGGCCTCAGGGCTGGATGGTCAGTCAGTCAGTCAGTCTGTCAGTGAAAGATGAATATCACGGGATCTCTATTGCAGTGACAACTTCATCTACAACTTCATCTCACCAGTACACAACCACCTTCATTGGCTCGTGGCTTCCATCTTCAAGCTTCTCACTCATCCACGCCGTGGAAAACCTCATGCTCCGAATATTGACCCGTCCAGACATACGTCTATTCTTTACAAGTTTCAAATCTAGACATTGGAGACTTATCTTTCAATGTCGCAAGACCATCTCCATGGCACATCGGCATATCTGTCAAGATGCCATCTGCTCAGTTGCTCACTGATAACACGCAAGAGACATAGACACTAATGCAGCACAACACAGCCCCTCGTGCGGGGTTGATAAGCGACATCGGCTCTTGATATGCCGTGGTGACATCCCCTCCATACCACCTTCTACTCTAGGGCATATTGGCGAGCTGGTGCAGCTGTCAATGCATACCATGTGTTATCAATCTTTACTCATCATGACCTTTTACTTACCTCGAGTGGTGCTTTGCCTCAAGTGGAAGGTGTTGAGAACTACATGTCCAACAATGGGGGTTATCTCTGTCAAATCGCCGTCGCTTGATGGAAGCATGGCACTGCTACTTACTATGCCACCAGCGATATGAGTACATGCTGAGAAATGCTCCAGGAGCTTCAGCTTTACGTGCTATCATCCTTGGCTTGATAGGTCACACGGTAGAGTGGACAGACTGCTATAAAAGCAGCAAGATGGGCAATCCCTACCCTGATAAAAACATCGTTCCTGCAGCTCGCCGAAAGCACTGAACTTCATCAAGATGGGAAACGTGGACGTCGAGAAGTCAATCGTCACTACGGCAAAGAATGACAGCCATGTTGCTTCCCGTCAAGCTGATGCAGCATTGGAGTATCTCCAAACAGGAGAAGTAGCGACGTTCTCCGAGGTAGAAGAGAAACAGCTTGTTCGGAAGATCGACCGCATGATTGTGCCTCTCATGTGGGCGATCTATTTCCTTCAATACCAAGATAAGATCCTAAGTCAGTCTCTGCTTGTCACGTCACCACTGTAACTGTTGCCTGACCGAGCGACTAGTCAACTATGCGTCGGTGATGGGCCTGCTGGATGACACGGGGATGCGGACGGACCAGTTCTCTCACTTGGCTCTGGTATTCTACGCATCATACCTTTTCTTCGAACTCCCGACCGGGTATCTGATGCAGCGTCTGCCAACGGCGAAGTACTTGGGACTGAACGGTAGGTAGCGCGGCTCGAGTTGCGAACCATGCTGATTAGCCCAGTCACTCTCTGGGGTCTGTTGACCACTCTGAATTGCGTTGCAAAGAATTTCGCCGGGCTTGTTGTCCTTCGCGTGCTTCTGGGATGCTTTGAGAGCGCTGTAGCACCCGCGTATGACCTCCTCCAGCGTTGGAACCTAGGTACCGAGCTAACCATACTAGTCTGATATTGATCACTTCGATGTGGTATCGCAGAAATGGTAGAGAGTTCGGTCATTCTTGGGTCCACATGTACTGATTGAGTCCTAGAACAACCAAAACGTATGGGCCTGTGGTACTTGGGAACAGGCACAGCAACGATTGTCGGAGCCTTGGTTGCGTACGGTCTGCTCTTCTACACGGCCGATGAGTTCTACTCATGGCAGATCATGTTCCTGATCTTCGGACTGTTGACCATCGCTGTTGGGGTCACAGTCATTGTCATCTTCCCCGACAACCCTGACCTCCCGACTTAGCCACGAGGAGAAGATTATGGCCATCGAGCGCCTCCGCGAGAACCGCACCGGCATCGAGAACAAGCAGTTCAAGTGGAACCAGTTCCTCGAGGTATTCACCGATCCGCAAGCCTACCTGATCGCCATCATCGTTGCAGCGAGCAACATCAGCAATGCCGCCATCAGCAGCTTCTCGGCGCTGATCATCAAGAACTTTGGCTTCACCACCAAGGAGACCGAGTTACTCACCATTCCCGGCGGCGTGGTCAGCGTAATCAGTATCCTTGCAGGAACACACCTGGCCGGGCGCTTCGACCAGCGATGTCTTTGCGTTCTGGGCATTCTGGGCTGCGGTCTTCTGGGCGGCTGTCTGATGGCCTTTGCACCGAGTGACAACAAAGGCGCGATGCTGGCGGGCAACTACCTCACCAACTGCGTCGGATCCGCCCTGCCCCTGATGTACTCGATCGCGGGAGCCAATGTGGCCGGGCATACCAAGAAGGTGACGATGAACGCGATCGTGCTCATGTCGTTCTGTCTCGGCAATATCCTGGGTCCGTTGTCCTTCCGCACGCAGGACGAGCCGGAGTACATGCCCGCCAAGGTCGCCATTGTGGCTACCGTCTCGGTGGCGATCATGTTCACGGGGCTTCTCAAGTGCTATTACATCTGCGAGAACCGCCGCAGGGAGCAGAATGGCCGCGGTGAGCAACATCAAAAAAATTCCGAGTTCCTCGACTTGACCGACAGGGAGAATCTTGAGTTCAGGGTGAGTTCTTCACTACCCCGGGAAGTCACTTGCATCAAATCAATCAACTGATATGCAATTAGTACAAGCATTGAAAAAAAGTCTATCAGCATGTAAGACGTTCTGAGAAATCCATGAGACATGGAATGTAAGTGATATTACATCAAGTGGACAAGCAAGTCTATGCGATCTATGCTATGCAAAACATCCTGCCAACGCCTAGTAGAACCAAGAAAACGCTATATATACAATGCATCACACCCGCACCAAACTCTAAGCAGCAACCTTAGCGACATTGGCAGCCTTGAACTCCTCGCTGTAGTCATAGTCGTTGTAACCCTTGGGATCCTTGGGGAGATAGAAGACCTCGCGCTGGTAAGGGCGGAGGGGGATGCCGCGCTGGATCTTGAAGGGCAGCTCGGGGTTGGCGGTCCAGGGGCGGCCAATGCCGACGACGACATCATAGTCCTTGTAGTCGACGTCGACGGCCTTCTTGGCCGACTCGGCATCGAACCCGCCGGCCGTGATGACGGGGCCGGCATGGCCGTAGGCGCGGAAGAAGAAATCCAGGCTATCGTCGTTGCCGCACTCGCCCTCGGTGTTGCCCTGGATGCGCGGCTCGACGACATGGACGTAGCTCAGCTTGAACGCGGCGGTCTTCTCGGCGAGGTAGCTGAACTGGGGCTTGGGGTCCTGCATGCGCATGCCCTGGAAGGTGCTGAAGGGCGAGTAGCGGATGGCGGTGCGCTCGGCGCCGACGGCCTGGACGACGGCCTGGATCACCTCGAGCGCGAAGCGCGCGCGGTTCTCCACGCTGCCGCCCCAGGCGTCGGTGCGCCGGTTGGCCGTGTCCTGGTTGAACTGGTCGATCAGGTACCCGTTGGCGCCGTGGATCTCGACGCCGTCGAAGCCCGCCGCGATGGCGTTCTTGGCCGCCTGCGCGTAGTCCCCGATGAAGGCGTGGATCTCAGCCTCGGTCAGCGCCCGCGGCGTCGGCGCCTCCGGCCCCGCCGCGATGGCGCTCGCCGACACCACCTCGTCGACCTCGCCCTGCGTGTCCTCCTTCAGCGCGGCCGGGTCGGCCACGCGGCCCAGCGCCCACAGCTGCATGTAGATGTACGAGCCGCGCGCGTGCACCGCCTCGGTCACCTTCCGCCACTGCGCGATCTGCGCCTCCGTGTAGATGCCCGGCACGTTGCGGTAGCTGCCGGCGCGCGGCGAGATCAGGGTCGCTTCGGTGATCAGCAGCGTGCCGGGGACGGCGGCGCGCTGGGCGTAGTGCTCGGCCACCATGTCCATGGGCACGTGGGCGTCGTCGGCGCGGAACCGCGTCATCGGGGCCATGGCCAGCCGGTGGGCGAGGTGCATGTTGCCCACCTGGAGGGGTTGGAAGAGTTTCGTGGTCATTTTTGGTGGTGGGGAAAAGTACTAGAGTATAGAGTTCAGGTAGGTGTTGCCACAATGCAATTCGCAATTCGCAATTCGCAATCCAACTTTTCTTGATTCGGAGAAAAAGAACCCGGAATCAGAGGAACGAAGGAAGACCCCAACAACACCTTTATACCGTTCGTTTCCCCAATCAATCCAGAATTAGGAATATGGAATCTTCCATGGGGGTGAGGGAACAGTTCCGTGGAAGTGGGGCCCAGCGCCCATGTCCCACATGTTGATTTCCAAGCATCGATGGGGCTTCGAAACTTCTCCTCAAACTTCGACAGTTGTTGCCCCTTGCCCCTGCCCTTGACCCTGGTGCTCGTCTCGGGACATAGAGCCCCTTCCATGGTAGGTTAGTTAGTTAGTTAGTTAGTTAGTTAGTGATTATGTAGATAGTGGTGTAACTATCCAAAATACGCATAGCTCACCATCAAGTTAAAACTCAAGTACCCTGCGAAAGAACATCTAATTAGTGCCCCCTGCATAAGTCAAGGTACTTGGCATCATAATCTGCACGCGGGAAACCCGGCAGGCCGGCCTGGTAAGCACTAGACTAGACTAGCTAAGCTACTTGGACCCTGGCCACCATCCTTGATGACGATAACGTGAACGTGAACATGAACGTGGGTGGCGGACCCCAACCCTGCAGAAAGTTCTGTTGCATAACCAGTTTCTTGGTACAGATCACAATCCTCGGCCTCGGCGTGGGAAATTGTTTTCCGCCGCGGCTGACAAATACGGCTGGTGGCGGGGGACGGGGGGGGGACGTTTCGAATGCTTTCGAAGAATTTTCTGGGGTGTCTGTACCCGTGCTTCGGGCTGCCGGCGGGTTTGGTTCGGCGAGAGAGAGAGAGAGAGAGAGAGAGAGAGACTCGTCCTCCGGGCTCGGCTCGGCTTGCCACTATACTTCTTTTCGTGGTGTAGGGTCAACTTGGGTTGCAGTTGCAGGTGCAGGATTCAGTTGTTGCAGATACAGAATAACTACGCTTTAGTATGCGTATACGTATACATACTAAGATGAGGCTAGGCTAGCACGATCGATCTTATGCTATACTCCGCACTCGTATGCAAGATAGTGATATGCTGTTATCCAATAGCACAGGTCTGGTAGTACAGTACGTACAGTACATGGTCATGGTCATGGTCAGGTAGGTATCCATTTCATCATCAAATAATCCAACAGAACTGCTACCGGCACCTCCGAAAAACAAACAACCTTAAAAAAAAAAAAAACTCCTGTCGCAGTGTTCGTGTCATGTGGGTATTCGGGATCGATAGAAAGAGCAAGACGAGCAAGACGCGAAATTCGCATTTCAGGTGGTGACGCAACAAAAAAGAAGCCGAGGATAACAATGGGTCGAGAGGAAGCTCAACGCTCAACTCTCCAGCCGCCGTGCCGTGGATTCGAGCTGTGCGTTGAAGGAACGAAGTTGATGCAGCAGCCCGCCCTGGCCGCCGGGAGCGGCGGAACTGACCGTCTCCGCAACGTTGCGAAGCAGAAACTCCATCCCCCCCAGATCAGGGGTCTCATCAGGATCGGCCGGGTGGGTCTGACGACGCTCCAGCGCGAGGTCGAGACTGTGGAGGGAGTTGTTGATGGTCGAACGCGCCTATACGGGATTGATGTTAGCCTCCGACTGCTCTTAATATCGTTTTTGTTCAACTCCAGAAAGACTCACCTTTCGTGCAGACTCATCTTCGGCATGTTTTCTCCGGACAGCGTCCATTTGCAACGCAACCGCCTCTCGCTCCTTTCGCACTTGGTACAGTCGACTCCGATACTCCATCATCTCGCGCTTGGCTTTGCGCATCTTGACCCCAAGCACGAAGTTGCCGTCCAGCATCTCACTCAGCTCGAGCAGTCGGCCCTCCAGTTCGCTGCCGTACGCCTCGACCACCTTCTTCTTGCGCGTCCATTCGGCGCGCCGCCCGGCGTTCCCTTCGCCGTCGATGCCGTTGTTCAGCGTTGTCAGCGTCTTTTCCAATGTCTCGCGGCAGATCTGGCCCAGTACGTCGGCCACATTCACGCCGCCTCGGCTGGGCAGCTTGTCCTGCTGCCGGTCGGACGACGCCTCGGCGATCTCGCCCTCGTCATCCGACGACTCCAACAGTGTGGGGTCGCCCCCGAGAGCGGCAGCGTTCGCAAGACGATGCACAGTGACCGGCACGGTCTCTCCGCGAGGTTGTCTGGGCTTGCGTCTCCGCGTCGGAGGCTCTGCGCTGCCCTCGCCTTCTGCTGCAACGTTGTCTGCCTCGCGTGTCGCGCTAACCCCGGCACTCTCTTCTGCCTGCCTGCCGCCACGATCACGCTTGCGAGATCGGGATTCAGCGTGTGCCTGCGAAGATTCGGGTTCTGGTTCTGGCTGTGCGACCTCGGGTTCGACCACTTCAGGTTCCGGAACAGCTTCTGCTGGCTTTGGTGGTGTCGACTTGGCTCCTCTCGCCTTCCGCCCTCTTGGCTTTGGCGCTGTTTCAACTGGTTCGTGCGTGGCCAGCTCTGGCTCTGGTTGTGCACCTTCCGGCCCGGCTGTCCGTGCTTTCCGTCCTCTGGGCTTCGGCGCTGTCTCAACTGATTCTTGCGTGGCCGGCTCTGGATCTGGCTGTGGTTGTGGTTCATCCGGCTCAGCTGTCCGTGCTCTCCGCCCTTTGCGCCTGGGCTCTGCCTCGGCTGGTTGTTGATCTGCCGGGCCGGGCTCCGCTTGTGCTGCCTCCGGCTCAGCTGTCCTTGCCCTTCGCCCTCTTGACCTTGGCTCTGGCTCGTCCACCGGTTGTTCCCCCGGTTTTGTCTCTGGTTGTGGAATCTCTGGCTCTGCAGTCCTAGCTCTCCGCCCCCCAAGTTTCGATTCAGATACCACTGGCTCTGGCTCTACCGGCTCTGGCTCAGCGGTCTTCGCTCTTCGCCCTCTGTGCCTTGAATCAGGCATCGCTGGTTCCGGAGCTGTTGCTGCTGTCTCCGGTGTCGGTTCCGTTAGCTTAGCTCTCCGTCCTCTTGGCTTCAAGCGAGATGCTGTCTCCGCCTCTGCTTCATGGTCCTGTGGCTGTGGTGCAGGTTCCGCTTGCTCCGGCTCTAGATGTACAGGCTCCGGCTCTGCTTGTTTGGGTCGTCGTCCTTTGCGCTTCGGCTGCGCCTCTGATGGTAGGGCCTGCTCCTGTGGCTCCGGCTCCGGCTGACTTGGCTCTGGCTCCACCGGCTGTGGCTCAGATCCCTCGGGTCTCCGCCCTCTTGGCATGGGCTGTGACGCCGACTCTTCCGGCTCCTGCACCTCCTTCTGCGCCTCCTCAACTGGAGCTTCCTCCTCCTCGACCACGTCCTGGAGAGAGGGCGAAACCTTTCTTCCGGGGCGGCCAGCGCGCTTCGGTTTCGTTTCTGCTACCTCTGACTGTAGCGGACGTCCTCTGCGGGCTCCCTTTCGCTCCGCAGCACTCACTTCTGCTCCTTGCGGAGCATCTACCTCCATACTCTGACTCTCTGGCTCCCCGTTGGTGATGGAAGCATCAGTTTCCCGCTCAGAGACCCCATTCACCCGTGTCCGGATTCTCTTATTTCCCTTAGCTTCAACTGGCGCACTTTCCGCGGACCCTGCTCTCGCCACTCGAGGCTCCTTGACCGTAGTCGTAGATGGCTGGACGGATGCAGCTCGTTCGCCGCGTGGTCGCTTGGTTCGCGAAGGAACGGGTAGTCTTGACTGCTTCGTAGTCGGTTGAGGTTCGGTGGCGGCATGCGATTGGGTTGTTTCTTGGGATGGGGCGGTCAATTGGGGCTCGGCGACGGTTTGAGGCTCAACGGGTTCGGTCGACTCAGAAAGATCTGGAAGAATTGTGTCGTTCGACAGTTCAACAGTATCTGGCACAACTGTCGTTGGTGGTTCTGTAGTTTCAGGTTGTACATCCAGCGATGTATCCATGGGCTCTGCGGGTTGTTCGATCTGCTCTTCGCTCGTCTTCGGACTGGTTGTAGTAGGCGACGATCGTTCACTTTCCTGAGAGCCTTGTCTCTTGCGCTTGCCTCTTGCTTTCTTACCTGGCGGGGAGGGTGTTCCGTTCGCTCTGGGTGATGCTGACTTAGGCCTCGAGGACAGCTTCTCTGTAGCCACTGCCGCTGACTCCGGTTCCTGGGGAGCCTGCGGAGACGCGAGGTCATTGGGCGCTATAGAGGCTGCTGCCGGCGTTACGGGCGATGCTGGTCTCTCGATCAAAGCTTCGGAAGCGGGGGCCGGGACAGGCTCGGGGACAGGCTCGGTCGCAACAGTTGATTCCTCAGCAGTTTGAGATGGATCCATCGGGGCGATTCCATTGGCGAGAGAAGGGGGGTTCTCAGCACTGTGCGCAGCAGCTGAACTCGTAGCGGAGCTCCTAGGGTGATCTTGGACAGGGTCAGCATTGTATAAACCGCGTCAGTGCATGTGGCTGCGCACCAAGTTTTCTGATCTTGCGACTTGGACCGGCTTCCGTTGCATCGTCCGATGGATCCTTAGGCGAAGACAGTCTGGGCGAGGATCTGGTGCGCGGGCTTCCTGACGTCCGTCGAGCGGGTTTCTGGTCCTGGGATGTCGAAGGCTCAGCCGCAGGCGGCAAGCCATTTTGCGTAGTTCCATCTGCAATACTTGTATTTTCCGCAGTAATTGGCGGTGCTGCTGCTGCTGCTGCTGCTGTCACTGTCGTTGTTGGCGGTGGCGGTGGAGCTAAGGCAGGAGGTTCACCAGCGATTCCCACATCGGCCGGGCGCGACGCGGAATGAGCAGCTTCGTCCGGCGGCGGAGGAGCTAGCCCAAACGAAAAACCAAAGTTGATCTCTTTCGTCTTACGTGACCTGCTCGAGATTGGGTACAATTAGCGACTCAAATCCTAATGGTAAGGCGACGCGGGGTATGCTGGGGGGTTTTGGATGCGCGTACGCTGCTCCGCGCTGCCGCATTTGCTGCCGCTCCTCTCGATCTACCGTTGCCAAAGATTAGCTGAGTACGCGAAGAACCTATGCGAAAATAGATAATCATACTGATATTCATGTTGGAGAAGCGGCGTCAGGCCGAACTCGACGCGCAAATTGACGCGCGAGAAAAGATGGGGGGGGGAAGGAGGTAAAAAGAGGTTCGGATCCCTCCTGCTTGGGGGCAGCGGAAGTTGGAATTGGGGGGGGGGGGGGGGAATGATGGCAGGGCGGGCGGAAACCTGACAATCGTTTTCCCCAATACGGTTTGGCGCCCGGTAAGTTGAAGACTGAGCTGAGCTGAGGGAGGGCCTGCCTTTCGTTTCGGGCATCTCGCGCCATTCTCCGCAGTCAATCTATATTGCAGTGCAGTGTACACTACGAAAAGCAACGTGCGCTTGCAGGGCTTTCTTTCTCCCAACCTTGTTTCCTCACTCGCGGCTGTCTCTTCCCAGTGAATCGATCACTTTACACTTCACACCATGGGTTGGTTTTGGGGCGGTTCGAACCAAGACGACCCCGTCAAAAAGCTTGACCCGGAGCTGCGGGAGTTCCTCGAACATGAAGCCCCCAAGAAATACGTGCCCACGAATGCGCTTCCTTCCGTCCACGAGCCTTCGAAGACAGTAGAGAAGGCACCGGTACCACCGCCATCGTCGGAGAGTGCTTCTACGCCGTCGGAACCTTCGGTCCCCAATGCCTCCCTCTTCCCCGACGGCCGCTATGCCCACCTCTGGAAGACCTACAAGCCACCCCAGGAAAAGGAACAGTCCGAGATGAAAACCGCCGAGCGGGTGATCGAGAAGTACAAACAGCGCGGTGATACCGTGCACCGGGCGGCGATGGAGAACTGTGCGTTGGAACAGGAGGACTGGGCCAATTGCTTCCGCACCGGCAACTGGCAGAAGCAACTGAAAGCCCGTGCGACCATGTGCTCAGAAGAGAACTCTAAGTTTTCTCGTTGTTTTACCACCCAGGCTGTACGTACGAATCTCCCTTTGATACGTAAGATGCTAACTGCTTTGGGGGTCCCAGAAATTCCTCCAGGCCTTGGGCTACGCATCCTCCTTCGAGTGGGACGCGGAGAGAGAGGAGCGGATTCAGATGCACGCGGATAAACTCTATCACGAGATGTTGGACTACGAAACCCGGGTGGAGGAAGCACAGAAGGCCGGGCTGGAACCTCCGCCTCTCACCTCGCTCTTTAACCCCCAAGTACCGCCGCCGCCGCAGAGTCCCGCCGTTACCACCAAGAAGACGTTGGAGATCCCCGGTGGGGAGGCCATCCCCGTCGGCTTGAAGCCATCGAAGCCTCTGGAGAAGCTCACTCCCCACGAGCGAGAGCTGGAGATCCGGGCGCACAACGCACAGTTGGAGCAGCAGAAACTATACGTGCAGGAGGCGACGCCGTTCATCAAGAGCCAGGATGAGGCCCGTTCCAAGCGACGAGAGAAGGCTACCAGTTGGTTTGGCGAGACGATTGGTCGCTGGGTCACCTGAAACATTCCGGATATGAGAAATTCGTCTTCACTTCTGATGTATATTATGATTGTTACCCCTGTTGGCTTGACTTTTCTGGGGGAGTTTGTGAGTAGATATCAGCGATACTTTCGAAATTGAATAGTAGGCATTGCCGGTAATCAAGATGACCTTGAAGATCAATCTGACGAGAGGGATAAGCATCGAACACCTTGCGCAGTGCTATATGTTAGTGGAAGTGAAATAGGTCCCAGAGATGGTGGTGGTGCTATATTCCATCGGTAGCCTCAGCTCCCCTGGTCGGATCGCATATTGACTGCTTTGCTCACTCAACGCCCCCGTGTACTTCTATGTTCAGCGATAGAAGACTGATTGGAGCGATGAGTCTCTCGACGCATTAGTATGCCCGGAATTGGCCAAGGAGGCAGTTACCTCGACTACTTGGTAGCCATTCAGCCAGTCTAAACCTTCTCGACGCCCCTGGTAACCAGAGAGACCGTTCAACAACAGTAGCAACCACCTGTACCTTTTCTTCCGCATGCAGATCACAATTCAAGACAGTTCCCATTGTTCATTGGAAGGGATTGTGGTGTCAAGTAATCGCCAGCCGCCATGCCGCAAGAGAAACCAAACCGCTTAATTGATATGGTATTCTCGGTGCAGGCGTTGGTTCGGAAAGCGGGCGCACCGAGATCAATAATAAATAGATCGAGGAAGCAAGAGGATTAAACATGGGAGGTGACCGGTGGGGATTTCTACTTCCGTAAGAAGAATGAAATGAAGAACCAGTTTTACGCGCGATCGACGGAGCAGGCGAACGCGAAGCTGACGGACGCGGGGATTGTCATTCGCCGGGCGCGACACGAGGGAGAGAAAAAGGATCGATGATCCATGATGGGATGCTGGGATGAACGACATCACCACTGAACTGACCACTGATTGGAACCTGCAATCAGTTAACTTCCACTGCCTGCCACTGCAACGGACAACTACTTCCGCTTTTCTCGCTCTCTCACACTACACTACTTACTTTACTACACTACACCACTCTCGTCTGCTGCACTTGTCGCTCCGTCAAATCGGAACATTGACTGACTGTGTAGGTGTTAGAATTACTACTAGATTCCTGATCTTGTCTAATAATCCGACCTCCTCGTTGCTTCCTCTCTCTCTTTCCCCTCCCTCTCCACCCCCCTTCTTTCACTCTTCTGGTTGCATACCTCTTTAAATCCCTCCGAGAGGCTGCTGCTGCTGCTGCTGCTGCTGCTGCAAGTACTGTACTTCCCGACAGCTTGTTTGCATTGAATTTCCTCGCCCGCAACTCTCCCTCCGCACTTCTCTCTCTCACGCCCTAACAATTCTCCTCATTGCTGCTGCTGCTGCTTCAGCTTCCCCCACCCCACCCCTCATACTACTACTGGATACAATCAATCTTCCACCCCATCTATATCCGCAATATATAGTCGTCCTGGGCCTCAATCTCCCCACCCCCCAATCTCTCAACGGGTGCCCCCAATTGAGCATCCGTGCTCATCATGAAGGCCACCCCGTTGCTCATCTCGTGGCACGATGACAATGCTCCTATTTACTCGGTACATTTCGATCCTAATGGTAAGGGTCGCTTAGCCACTGCTGGAAAGTGAGTTCGTCTGATCTCTCCCTTTGCCCTTCTTTGGTCTGTCATTCAGGTTGCTGATGCTTGTCTCCGCTCTCTAGTGACAATAACGTCCGAGTACGATCCCCCCTCTCGAACTCGCTTTGCCCTCCCTCATCCCTCCTCGTGACTCCCCGTCGAGGGCACTCTGTACACCGTGTCTGACAACATAACACCACCACAGCTATGGAAAGTGGAATCAACCGGAGAGGAACGGAAGGTGTCCTACCTGAGCACGCTGGTCAAACATACCCAAGCTGTGAATGTCGTCCGTTTCAGCCCCAAAGGTAGGCAGCAACGCTCGATCCAATCTGTCGATGTCGGTTCCTGTGCTGATCATGTCTCCTCGAATCTCATTTAGGCGAGATGCTGGCATCTGCCGGGGATGACGGCAATGTCTTACTCTGGGTACCGTCGGAATTGCAATCACAACCGGGCTTAGGTGAAGACCGCTCGGACGACAAGGAAACCTGGCGAGTGAAGCATATGTGCCGTTCCTCCTCCGGGGCAGAGATCTATGATCTCGCGTGGTCGCCCGACGGGGTTTTCATTATCACGGGCAGTATGGACAATATCGCTCGGATCTATAACGCTCAAACGGGTGAGTTCAGATTTGTGGGTTGCACACGGAATTGGACTGCTGAACTGTATGAATGACAGGCCAAATGGTGCGCCAGATTGCTGAGCACTCGCACTACGTCCAGGGTGTGGCCTGGGATCCGCTGAATGAATTTGTTGCAACACAATCATCCGACCGCTCGGTCCACATCTACAGCTTGAAAACCAAAGACGGCCAATTTACCCTCACTTCCCATGGGAAGTTCCTCAAGATGGATCTCCCCGCGAAACGCATCTCGTCGAGCAGTCCTGCGCCGCCGGATCTATCGATTCGCTCTCAACCCGCACCGACCAGCTCGGCCGCCATTGCTTCTCCCGCTCCGTCCACTCCAGGTACACCAATGACCTCCAACTTGCCGATGGACCCTCCCCCCGTGTCGCATAGTCGCCGATCCTCATTCGGGTCCTCTCCTTCCATCCGTCGTTCAGCATCTCCGGCGCCATCACTGCCGTTACCAGCTGTCAAACCGCTCGAGGTACCATCACCCGGTTTATTGGGTGGGCTCGGAGTCAAGAACGCCAACATCTATGCGAATGAGACCTTCACCTCATTTTTCCGGAGGTTAACCTTTGCTCCTGATGGAAGCTTGCTATTCACCCCGGCCGGGCAGTACAAGACGTCGCATGTGTCAGCGACCGACTCCTCGAAAACAACGGACGAGATCATCAATACCGTTTACATCTATACCCGTGCCGGGTTCAACAAGCCACCCATCTCTCATCTCCCAGGCCATAAGAAACCATCTGTCGCGGTCAAGTGCTCGCCAATTTTCTATACCCTGCGGCAGACTCCTCAGCCTGCTCGCCATATCACCTTAGACACCTCGTCCATCGAAGAGTCGTTCTCTTCGCTCCCCGATCCGGTGGTGAGTTCCGCCAAGGATGGCGCGTCAATGGAGCCTCCATCTTCCACGCTTGCCGCCAATGATTTGGTGAAGAACAACACCGGTACCAAGGCGACGGAGCGGGACAGTCCCTCTGCGAGCCAAAGCCCTGCCCCCGTGTTCACACTGCCCTACCGAATTGTGTATGCGGTAGCCACCCAGGACGGAGTCTTGGTGTATGACACCCAGCAGCAGACGCCAATTTGCGTCGTTAGCAATCTGCACTTTGCTACTTTCACCGATCTGACCTGGTAAGTAATGATGACGGACACTCGACGACTTGATTCAGCTGAACTAAATTTGGACAGGTCGAATGATGGCTTGACCTTGATGATGAGTTCGTCCGACGGATTTTGTTCTACGCTTGCATTCTCGCCGGGCGAGTTAGGCCAACCATACACTGCACCAGCGTCAGCGGCTCATCAGAACGCAGCCGCCGTGTTATCGGCCAATAATGTTCCGCTCCCTACGCCGACGACAGCGAAACCAAGTCCAGGCCCCCAAGCCAATGCGAGCCAAGCACCCCCTGCAAGCCCTGCACGATCTAATTCGGTGTCCTCGGTCACGACCCAGTCTGGTAGCCAACAAACGCCAGGGACGGTGGTCAACAACCCGACACCGACTCTCGGATCAGTCCCCCTGGTGACGGCGACTCACTCATCCCAGCCTCCGACACTTCCGCTCACGACGCCGCCACAGACCCCTATGCCTGTGGCCTCGCAAAGTGGGACAAGCAATGTCAGCGCCAGTGTGCTAGGCAAACGGGTCAGTGAATCGGAAAAGGAGGAAGACAGAGACCCGAGCGCGGCTCCGCCCGTCCAACCACCGAAGAAGCGACGAGTCGCGCCGACGCTCATATCAGCAGGCACCGAGCATACCTCCGTGAAAAAGGAGTCACATAGTACTACGGATGTTGGAGGTTAATCATGCCATCTGACAAGTATCTTATTCATGATGTTTCTTGTTATTTCCTATCCCCTCCGTGACTAAAGCGTAACTTCTTCCATCCCGTTACCTCCCGTCTTCCTCTACCACCCACCACCGCCACCCTTTCAGGCGAGATTCGGAGCGATCCTGTCTCGCCACGACATATTATCTATCTTCCAGGCGAGATCCATGAATTCACGTGTTATCCTCCTATTCTCCTATTCGCATTTCCATGAGCTAGTGATCTATTTTCCCACAGTGTTTGTTTACTAGGAAGGATTTCCGGTAGAGTTTCGAAGTCCGAGTTGCGTCATTCAGTCAGTCAGCCAGACAAGGCAAGGCATACATGCATCATTGTTCCCCATGTACGGTATTCTTGTTTTTGTTCTTGTTTCCCCTCTCTCTCCTCATTTCATCTTTGCCCGCCCCCCCTCCCTGACTTCCTTTCTCCGCACAACCCCTCCTACTCTTCTTTGCTTCCCATCGTTATTATTCAGTACCAGTACCCCCGCACGCAAACGGACCTGCGATTAGTGTTAGTTATCATCCATCAGCTCGAATGTGGATATGTGTAAATACTTCCGAACTCCAGTCTTATTTCTTCATTTCCCATCCCAGCTGAGAACCCCAGTCATCAAGCACATCACCTGAATTGCTGATGTCCTGTGAGGACCCTCTCAACAAACTCCTAACCCCCACCCCGTCCCTTTCTCCCCCTCTAGCGCACCCCATCGACCGTGCAGTAAACCTGGTGACTCGACACGCAAACCAAACGCGGGGGTTGACTGGCAATCTTTCCGTCAACATCGCCCATCGACAATCGACAACAGCTGAGCAATAACATCACATCACCCCCAAGATGCATGTACCCTTCGCTGAACCTGTGTGTGTGTGTGTTTGGCCACAGTTGCCCCCCCCTCCCCCGCCCCCTCGCCTGCCGAACATGGTGTGATTGAAATACACATCGCCATCTACCCGTACCAACGCTGTCACCGTCAGCTCCCGGCTCAGGAAACTGAAAAAAATCTCCTGTCCAGCTTAGCTGTACCTGTGGTTAGATCGACACATAACGGGCAACGGGGTTGACTGGGTGAGTTTGGTCTTGTCTTCTGTCTTTTGTTGTGGTTTGTAGTACCGGGGAGATAGGGTCCATGCGGCGGCGGCGGCGGTGGTGGTGGCGGTGGTGGACTAATCCGTGACTTGTATGTATGTATGTGTGTATGTACAGTACATCTTATGTATATCTGTCCAGTGCGGAGGGTCGGGGAGGTGGGATGTGGAGAAGAAAGGAAGTCTGTTGCTGAGTTTAAGGTACTGTACAGCAGCCAGACATCCGATGGGGAAAAGGGGGGGGGGACTGTACCAGCCCGTTCATTTTGTACTGGGTGGGTTTCACGGGTGCAGGCATCATCGGAGCAACCTGTCTGGCACTATGGTGGAGTATCTGCACGGCTATTCCATCTTTACATCTTGATCTCTAAAGGCTGGGTACGCGGTCAAAAAAGATCATCATTTGTATGGTCACAATCTAAGTGTCAACTACCAAAGTCTTCATAAATCAATTAAGGAAGTTAGTGAATTCTCCATCAACATCATCATATTGTGAAAGATCTTATGATTATCATCGAGTGTGTCCATTCGCCGTGATATGTCACATCCCTGATCAAGAAGAATGGAATAAAAAAGACAAGAGGTGGAGGAGAGGGACAACCGAGAAGGGTATTGGGGGTAGTGACAGGGGGTTGAGGGTAATCTTAGGTCATGTCACACGTTAGGTCACGTAACGTCATGTCAAGGAGGTGCTACAAGGTGTTCCTCGAATCAAGGTATAAGAAAGAAGAAGGCTGCATAAAGAGGTGAAAGAGGTAAGTAGACGGGAGGATAAGGATAGTCGTTAGTGAGCTCCCAGAAGTGGATGCGTATCAGTAGGCATCAAGGTCATAATGGGTGTGTCGCTCCATTCACACCATTCAATGTAGGCGAGTGTTCCACGAGATGCCAGTCCGGAGTCGGAGACATTGGAGGGGTGGAGTACCCGTTTGCCTCATGTCCACTGAAGACAGGAGGAGGGGTGGCTGGAGCGTGTCCGTTTGTCTGCTCGTCCTCTCCTTGTTCAGCCTGGACTGGGGCTGGGGCGTCGGCGGCGAGACCGTCAGAATGTCCATCAAGGTGGCCCTCGGGAAGAGAGAAGACCAGCGCATCTACAATGTCAACAATGCCCAATCCCTCGGGCGGAACGGCTCGCGCTTCTGTGGCATGAGTACCCACGGTGAGCGTGGTGACACTGGGGTTTTTCTCGTCAGTCTGAAGGCGATTCGCCCACCGGAACAGGGCTTCGTCGCCGCGGGCTCCGCCCGCCACAAACAAAAAGTCCGGGATTTGGTCCAGATGCTGCAAGACGGAATCGGCCGCTTTGGCTTTCGTCATGTCCAAAGGTTCAACACTCACTGCGCCCTCGGTGAGGACCACGCGGATGGCTTCACTACCGCGAGTGCCGTTGATCTGATCGGCAAGGCCAGAAGCCTGGCGGGCGGCCGCCTCGGGGTCAAGCGCGTCGTGATACCAGAAATTTAGCAAGCAACGGCCTTCCTCCATCACACTTCCTTCAACTCGTTCGTGGTAGTATTGGATCACCTTGCGAATGCCATTTCGCCAATCTTTGGCCTTCTCCATGTCTACAAGTGTCACCCAGTCGGAATTTCCAATCTGTCGTACAAAACAGCCGTTCTCAGCAATGATTCCTACTTTGGTGGAGAGCGGCTCGAGCAGGATTTCGAGCTGTTCAGGACTCTTGCTGCTGGTCACGTATACCAAGTTCTTTGGATCCTCAAGTAGGCGCTGGAGTAGAGGAACCAAGTTAGCAGGCCCTCCATGGCTGGAGGCGACTATGCCCTCAATCTCCAAGAAGAACAGTCGCACGGTGGACTCGTCGTACGCGCCTTTTACGGCATCGAGCGAAAGAGGTTTTACCTGGCTGAGTTCACGGGATAATTGTGCGCTGTGGGCTTTGGTCAGTGAGGCCTGGAACGAGTTGAACCAGGCAAGAGCGGTGTGAGGAGTCATCTTTTCTAGCAGGAACTCCCAGTTGCGCTGTTTCTGCTCCGCGGTCATCTCAAAGGCTCTGTTGATTGTGTCGGCAACCTCCTTGTAATCCCATGGATTGACCATGAGTTCGTGACCGTTGAAGATCGACGCACTTCCAGTGAATTCACTCAGAATGAGGGAGCCATGGCGCTGCCCGGTCAAGATTCCATCTTGGCAGTGGATGTAATCGTGACTACTGAGGTTCATACCTTCTCTCAGACTAGTGACCATGAAGATCTCGGCCACACTCATGAGAGCCAAGAACTGAGAGTAACTGATGTCTTGACGGAGGAAAACCAGTGGCTGATGAGTCAAACTCGAGTAGACTGAGTTGATGCGCATGGCTATCTTCGAGACTTGCGCCTCTAACTCAGGTAATTCAGAGGCCGAAGCGATTTGGACAAGGACGACCTGCTGAAGTTAGAACCTGGTCCCTGCGTCGCGTAGACGTCAAGCATGTCAACATACCTTGTCTCTCCACTTGGGATATTGCTTCAGGAACAGCTCGTAAGCCATTAGCTTGTGCTTAATACCGCCGGGAGCATCCAGCCTGTCTCGAGCAACAATCAAGTGCTTTCCCTTGTACCGAGAACTGATATTGGCGATCCAGTCCTTGACCTCGGTTGACCTGCGGAGCAGATCGAGGGCTTTCGGATCGACTCCAATCGGCATGTTTCTCACGTTGACAAATCTCTTCTCCAGCTGGACACCATCGACGGACACCTCCAAGCCGAGCAGACGGATGCATGACTGGAGGAAATGGTAGCAATATTCCTCCGTCTGGAACCCGACGAGATCGGCGCCCAATAGACCATGAAGCAGCGCATCTCGAGCATTGAGGCACCGGAAAATCTCAGAAGAGGGGAAGGCAGTGTGCATGAAGAACCCGATCTCTGCATTCGGTAGTCTCTCGCGGAGCATGGATGGGAGAAGCAGAAGGTGGTAGTCATGAATCCAAATGCTATCCCCTGGACGCCAGTAGGCAGCAATCTTGTCCGCGAAGGCCTCATTGACCCTCACATACTGCTTCCAGGAATAATCATCATACTCTGTGTGTCGAGGACTTTCTTGCATCTGATAGTGGAAGGCAGGCCAGAGGACGGCACGGCAAAAGTGAGTGTAGTGGCCCTCGAACTCGCTGTCATTGACGAAAACCGTCAAGGACTCGAACTCATCCTCGAGGGCCTCGGAGATACTAGCCCGAGTCTCGTCCTTTAACGAGTCGGTGGGCATGCCCAAGGTCCCCACCCACATTTTGTCTGTCAGCATACCGGCTTCCTCGGCAGCATTGATAGCATTGCGCAGGCCACCATTGCCCTGCTCTGCTGCTTTGACCACCCAATCCATCTCCGAAAGAAGGGCCCGCGGGCTGCCATGCTCTTCCTCGGAGCTGATTGCATCCAAGGGAGCATCAAGATACGGCGGGTTGTCTAGTTCGTCGATCTCAGGACGACTAAGGATGGATGGCTCCGGGTATAAAGAAGCCTTGGAGCGCGGCTGGTTGAACTTCCGGCTCTGGCCCCAAGAGACCGTGCGAGGCTCACTAGGGCCGGGACCGTTGGGGTCATCTGCAGCCGGGATCTCTCCCGCAGATCGGGAGATGTATGGCTTGAAGATCTTCTCATCCTCAGTGGTTGCCCCTGGTGTGTATAGACTGATGCTCTTCGAATGGCGTTTCCGATTGGTATCAGCCAAGCGTCCTACAATCTTCCCTTCTCCTTGAGAGGAGCTGCTGGATGATTTGCGACGAGCATATCTCAGCTCAGTAGCTTGGAAGTTGATGGTGTACGGAAGGAAGCTATTCAGAGTTAGTAGGGGGCAGCGGACCAGGTAGAGAGGAAGAAGAAAGGCATTGACGTACAGTGAAGCAATGAAGACCGTCATTGCGACAGTGTGTGTATGTGTCTTGGAGCAAGAGGTGTTTTCTAGAAGGTCTTTGTGACACCTAATGGATGTCTTGCAGACAGCAGGGGGGGATCCAGGATCAGCGGGGACCAGAAGGCTGAAAAAGAATAGTGGAGCAGTGGAGCAAATCAAAGAGTCAAAGAGTCCGTGATGGGCAGGAAGAAATAATAAGGAGGGAGGGTTGGACTGCAGCGACAAGACTCGGACCTAGGGATGTTTTAAGGCTGCAGAGGGTAGTGGAGTGGAGGGAGTGGTTGCTGAGGATAGATAATAGAGTTGAAATACGGATCCAAGCGAGGAAAGAGGACAATGGATAGGTCTTTAAGTCACACGAGGATGAAAGAAGAGAGTGGATGACCCTGAAAATCCCGGGTGGATGCAAAAGAGAGAGAGGGAGAGAGAGTTAGACACCCGAGCCATGCGCAGAAGGAAGAGAAGGAAGAAGCAGTCAGTGGTGACGTCCATGATTGATGGGCATTGATTGGCCTAGGACCAGGGCACCTGTCAAAACCCGCGGGGAACGGAGCACATGCAAGGCATCAATTCCTGCTAGACAGGAACATTCTGGCCTTTTCGTGCGTGAAGGAGGGGTTTGGGCAGGTTTTTTTTTTTTTTCTTTCTTCTTTTTTTTTTCCCGTTTCCATTTAATTTCTTGGGATCTGTATTTCTCCAATTTCCTTCTTTGACTTATGTGTGGTGGCCTTGGGCAGAGATGAGCTGTGCACGGAGGCACTCCAGAAGAAGGCAGAAGGAGGGGGAGGGGCGAAGAATCAATAGAAAAAGAGGGGAAAAGGAAGCCCGGGAGCGGAAAAACAGGAAGATTCTAGCCCATTGAGTGATTTTATTTTTCTTTTTGGTTTCAAGGCTTGGGGGAAAAAACAAAAAACAACCATCACAATTGAAAACTATCAGATCACAAGCTCATAGCATCAATTGAATATCAAAGAAGCCTACCGATCTAGCTAGATCGGGATAGGAGGCACTAGACGGGGAGTAAAACTTGCCTGCAGCACGGTCTGCAGATAATCAGTTCGACTATTCCCTAGCTTAGGCTGGAGGAAGAAACAAAGAGACCAGGGAAGTATAGAAACGGGCAAAGACCAATGAGAACAATGACGTTGAGGTTCCCGTGGGATCCGCAACTGATCCACCCGCGGCGTTTGGGCGACGGTTCGAGACAGTTCGACCACCACCGCGTGCCCGGTTTGGTCAATCTTGGTCAAGGTTGGCAGCACCCCTTCTTACCACTCACAGTCGCACCCTTTGCACATGGATTCGAGGGTTGGTTCAGCAAGAAGGAATTGCACGGGAAAAGTAGGAATGGGTCGCAACAAGGGGGTTGAAGATGCTGGTAGGTACTTGATAAGAAAATAGAGAGAAAGAAAGAGAGAAAGGAGGGGCAGATGATAGATGATAGGGGGGAGAAAAAGGCGGACAAGCAAGATCAATACTAGGTAAACGGAAAGTAGTCCACGACTAACTAACCTACAGTACAATACTCTACTCCCCCATATGGAGGGGCTCGATGAGGCGGTGGTGAAGTAATAACCAACCCAACAATAGTCTACACACTATATTATTATTGTTCTGCCAGCCATCACTTAAGAAGGAAGTGGAGCTCTTCCTGATTGTTGTGTAGTGTGTACACCAGGGAAACCAAAATTACCACTTTAATTCTCTTCCAAGCCCTGTTCCTGATCTTTATCTGGGTTTTGCCCTTTCGCTCCCCGATCTTTCTCCCTCCCTTCACCGATACGAAGCCAGAAAGTCATCACCACCTCTTCTTCCGTCTCGTCTCCCCTCTCTCCATCTCTCGCGCGCGCGCTCTCTCTCTCTCTCTCTCTCTCTCTCTCCATCGCATTATATTACTCTTCCAATTTCTCCTTCCTATCGCTAGACCCCAATTGACTTCCCTCTTGTTTTCTTTTTTCCCATTCCCATCCAAGCTCCCTCCAGATTCGATCAGAACACAAGAAAAGCGGGGCACAACATCTCCTAGCTTTCCTAGCTTCTTTCCAATTCTCAATCTCATTTACCTGAATCACATTGAGTGTCAGCTGTCATGGCCAGCGACAATTCTTCACAGGGCGATTCCCGCCTGCTGATCGTCTCGAATCGGATTCCGATCACCATTCGACGATCGGCAGGAGGGAAGTATGAATTTTCCATGTCTTCGGGAGGATTGGTGACAGGATTGAGTGGACTCTCCAAGGCGACGACTTTCCAGTGGTATGGCTGGCCCGGACTGGAGGTGCCTGAGGATGAGATTGAATCGGTGACTGCGCGACTGTCGGATGAGTTCAATGCGACACCAGTCTTCATGGACGACAAATTGGCGGATCGTCACTACAATGGCTTCTCCAGTGAGTCGCTGCCCTAATCACCCGCCCCGCGCCTTAACCTACCCCTCTTCTTCTGCTGCTGCTCCTGCTGCTGCGGCGGTGGCTGCTACTGCTGCTGCCACTGCTGCCACTGCTCCTTCTGCCCCTCCCTGGGCATTTTGCCCGCATCTGATATGCGTCTGCATATTTCCCAGCTTCCGCGATAGCCACATGGCACCTAGCAACAGGCGCCTCCCCTCCCACTTCTCACTTCCCACTTCCCACTTCCCACTTCCCCCCTCCAATGGGTCGCCATGACTAATGTGAGCTGTCAGACTCTATTCTTTGGCCACTGCTACACTACCACCCCGGTGAAATCGTGTTCGACGAAGCGGCGTGGGATGCCTATCGTGAGGCGAACCGGCTCTTCGCTCGGACCATCGCGCGCGAGGCTCGCGACGGGGACTTGGTTTGGGTCCACGACTACCACCTCATGCTCCTACCGGAATATCTCCGCGAGGAGCTTCACGAGTTGGGCAAGAAGAATATCCGAATCGGATTCTTCCTGCATACCCCCTTCCCCAGTAGCGAGATTTACCGCATCCTGCCCGTGCGGAGTCAGCTCTTGCGCGGCGTGCTGCAGTGTGATTTGATCGGATTCCACACCTACGACTATGCGCGTCATTTCTTGAGCTGTTGCTCGCATATCCTGTAGGTCACCATCTTTTTCTTCCCACTCGGAGGTCCCGTCTGTCGCACGCTAACCGACCGCCGTAGGGGATTGGTCACCACTCCGAGCAGCGTGGAATTCAAGGACAGGTCGGTCGCTGTCGGGGCATTCCCCATTGGCATTGATCCCGACAAATTTACCGAGGGTCTCAAAAGTCCCAAGGTGCAGAACCGGATCGCCAGCTTGGAAAGCAAGTTTGAGGGTACCAAGCTGATGGTCAGTGTCGACCGCCTGGACTATATCAAAGGTATCCCCCAGAAGCTGCATGCCTTGGAGGTCTTCCTGTCCCAGCACCCGGAATGGGTGGGCAAGGTCGTTCTGGTGCAGGTCGCCGTCCCGAGTCGTCAGGATGTCGAAGAATATCAGAACCTGCGGGCGGTGGTTAACGAGCTAGTCGGAAGAATCAACGGCAAATTCGGTAAGTCATTTTACTCCAGTCCAGTGACCGAACGTGTCTGGATAGCGCAACTGGACTAACCCGCGGAATCACAGGAACGGTGGATTACATGCCCATCCACTTCATGCACAAGTCGGTGAGTTTTGACGAACTCATCGCGCTGTACGCCGCCTCGGACGCGTGTGTGGTGTCGTCGACCCGCGACGGAATGAATCTCGTTTCGTTCGAGTATGTCGCGACCCAGCAGAAGCGCAAGGGCGTGTTGATTCTGTCCGAGTTCGCGGGTGCCGCGCAAAGTCTTAACGGAAGTATCGTCGTCAACCCGTGGAACACGGAGGAGCTGGCCAACGCATACCACGAAGCGGTCTCAATGACCGACGATCTGCGTGCGCAGAAGTTTGAGAAGCTCTACAAGTACATTACCAAGTACACGAGGTAAGCTTACGTGGCCCCTCCCCCCTTTCTTCCTGCATTGCATGCAGAGACGGACGATCTTCCCGCCCTGTCTCCTTCTTCCCTTCCCTTGCCTTCCCGCGCCACGCATGGAGGAGAACCAGAGTACTGACTGTTGTTCCACACTGATGTAGTGCATTCTGGGGCAAGTCCTTCGTCGCCGAATTGTCCAAGTTCTCGGCTGCAAACCCGGATGCTTGATGAATATCTATTGTCTATTGGCCTATCTACCCTTTTGTTTCGTTTCTTCTTCGGTTAACCCCTGGCATGCAATTCAATTTTGATACGACTCCGGCGCACGAGTGAGCATTTCACGATTATGTTTGATAGATTTAGCAGCAACAGCCTCCCACCTTTGCAAAGCACATGATATAGCATCGAATATAGGACAGGAACAATTGAAGAACAATAAAGAATCTGGAACACCGACATGTGGCAAGCCACCTACCTCAGGTATGAGTACGAGTACAAATGCCTAATCAACAAATCAAGTCCACCAAACCAAACTTGGATCCTCCACATCCAACGTGTAGATGCCTATCCCTTCTATATGAGTCGACCTCTTATCGCTGAATCATCAGGGACTACACCATCACTTCAACAAATACGTCATCCATCCACGTCAACACAGTACAATGTAGAGTACATCTAAGCTCGCCCCCTGCCCATGCCCATGCCTCCCGCCTTCAAATCCACACCCACCTCACCCACCCCCACATAGGTAGGTAGATCAACGATCAAGCTCAAGCTCAATCAAGCTCAGCAACCGCAGCTCGAAACACACAGTACCCCTACCTCCTACCCTCTCGATTATCAAGCCTTACTATAAGGATATTACACAACCATGCCGTCGACGGTATATCACGCCTTACTATTACCACTCCTATAACAAGAGGTAGTATAAACAAGAAATTACCACTTGATTTAAGTAAACCAAGCCCATGATCGTTCAGTGCAGTACAGTACACATCAACACCTCACCATGACTTCACGATGACATATCACCAAACAACAGTATCTGCTGGATCGTATGAGATTAGATCCGCGCCCTAAGACAGGGTCTAGAAGTTGCTTGCACTTACAGTCAAGCACGCATGTACCACTCAGATATCCTTGTGGATCGTGTTGTGCACACACTGTAGCATGATAGTATGTACGAGGAAATATTTAATGATCCGGGGTCATTAATGGTTCTACCATCAACAACTTTTTACAACTGTCCTCAGTCACTGAGACTGAGGAGATAATTACATCAAGCAATCCATCACTGGAGAACCCTCTTAAAATATATATATATATATTGTAAAAAGCTGAGGACGCATAACACACCCTCTTCTTTCACTCCTCCATCGCATAGGTAGATGAGAAACCGTGGACAACAACCTCGGGATGATCCCAACAGGGTAATTCCGAAGGGGGGACCGTTTCAACTTGGAGCACCGGGTTTAGTCCCGACCCCTCATCTTCATCTCACCTCACGTGCTTCGAAGAAAAAAAGGGTCTCGAAGGTTTCATCACCCAATTCTCGTGATCGGCCCCCGGGGGAAGGATGACTAACCTAGACATACGTAATCACGAGTCATGGGGGGGGGAAAAAAAGCTAAGATCAAGTCTTAGGGGGAGGTTGGAACTAGTCCCGTTGAAGATCCCGTTCTCTCTCTCTCTCTCTCTCTCTCTGATCCGTTCTCAGGCGTTGTCGCTAATATTAGCAACGGACATAGAGTAGAAATTATGTATATCTAAAGTACTTCAACATGGAGGAGAGGATGAAGGGTAGAGGCACAAATCCTGGGAATCTTCAGTTGTACGGTTAACTCATCAACGGGTTGTCGCTTAATCTTGCTACAATCTCGAAAGAGAACAGAAGAACAGACAGAGTATAAGGTTCGGAGTCTCAGAAAGCCCAACAGGTCCAGACAAACGAATGAAAAGAGGTCAACCTACGGTATGATGCGATGCTTTGGATCAGGGGAAATATTTGCCGCCGATCTTCCTCCAGGGTCTGGCCACCATGGACCCCTACTCAAGGTCTCTCTTCTTTCTTTCTTGTGCTGTTGAACCATTGGCATTCGGCATCAGAGACACTTCTAACCTACTCCGTAGAGGGATCTACCCCCTTCCTTCATGGATGGCAGGATCAGGGACCACCAAAAAGTCAAAAATCCGAAGAGGCAGAGGATAGCCAGATCTCGACACGTCTTGTTTTTCTTCCCCGGGTCTCAATGGGATTGCGAGTCATTTTCACCGACAAAATCCCCAATTGAAGGGCCAAGTTCTCCCATTATCTTTGAACCTCCCCTTGGCCAGGCCCCGCCAGGGTCTAGGGCGGATTTGTGGTTGACAGGCACCTTGGGAGAGACTCACCGAAGGGGCTTAGCGGGATGGGGTCTTTCCTCCAGGCTTCAGGCTCTCCCAAAGTTCCCTCGGACCTCCAGCCAGATCTTGTTGCTATGCCAAGACGGACGCTTGCGCGTCTCCGCCACCAATCCGTCCCGATTAGGAAGGATACCGTAATCATGTAACGCCGGGCGGTTTGAAATTGCTTCCATATCGAGTTGGCCCAGAGAAAAGGGAAAAGGGAAAGGGAGGCTGAGGCATGAAGCCTGGAGGGGTTCCTGCACCTTCAACCTGTCGGTCTGTACGGCTGTCGGCTTGGTCGGGCCGTGCGACCATGTTGCTCAGCGCTCTTTTCTCTCTCTCCGGGGAAATTGGGTTTCGCCGTGTTCCCTGAATGTTCCATGTCAATCATGATGCAAAGGCCTTATTCATTCCAGGGTCTTCTCTAGGAAGGAAAGGAGGAGGTGGCGAGACGGATGTCTATCAACTTATCAATGTCTTGCGTCGCGTACATGAAAATCCTGTCTGTCCGTCTGTGGGGATAGCTGTTGCAATATTGCAGGTGCCGCGTAGTGCTTGTGCTGGATAGGGTGCACGTCTTATCTGTGCAGCGCTCACTCAAGAAAGACGCTTTCCAGGAGGGGGGGTCTAGTACACATATGTATACGTACGATCAGCCCTGATAGTCATTGTGTGTGTATCACATGGCATACGTCAACGCCAGAGGATTCGTCGCCTGGTGAACCCATGAGCAATCATCAGGATTTTAACCCGAGCGACAGGGCCCGTTTCGAGTCGGTCGGACTGAAGGAGACCTGCATGGGCTTCGCAATGCATGTCGGAACTCGGACTTAGGGGTCTATGAGGCCATGTGAGGCATAGAGGGCCTCGACCTCAATTCACATTGATCAGGATCACCATGACCATCGGCCGGCTTAAGTCTATTCCGGCCAGCATAGTGGTTGGTCCTTATAGGAGGCATCATGGATTGACGACCTGGATCCTCTGCACTAGATATCATGTCGGAAGCACCTAGCGGAGACCGACCAGGAGTTTGGAAGTTGGATACTGCCGTTTCGGGACCCCGTTCAGCAGAAGACCTCAGTTAGTTAGCAAATAGTCACCTTGCTTCCTACTCATACGTTCAATTCGTTAGCTTGTTACATTATTTTCGCATCTCATCCTATTTGCCCAGAATCGTTACTCTTTTCCAGCAAGGAAGCTCGATCTCTAACTTCCGATGTGATATCCACTGCTTCGTCAGCGGAGCAAATAGTCTGAGTGGGTGCCATTCCGACTATGGGTCCAGTATACTCGTAAGGCTATGCGGTTGAAGCCGCGATGGATAATTAATTGCCTAGTTGGGGAGGGAGATCGATGAAGCTCTTCGGTTAGGCTGTCATTTTCTCCGAAATGCCCTTACTTGAAGCTTTAGAAAGTGCGTTCTCGGAGGGAGAGACGATGAGGGCAAGAAGAGAAAAAAAATCGCTGATCCGGTAGCCTGGAGATGAAGTGGACACTACGTGCGTTGTGCACGGTCACTAAGCATGACAGAGTGACCGATGGTGACATTTTTTAGCCTGTTGGTCAGAGAGCCGCGTAAGACGGGCAGGCTGACGTCGAACGAGATCCTCCATAGCGCGGACCCGGAGTGCGGTCGGTCGCGCTCGAGGATTGCCTTGTTAGGAGATTTTGTTCAGACGCGTCGACGAGAGGAGAAAAAAAAATTCCAGATACTCATATGGTCGCAATCATTTGTCTCGCCGCCCAAGGAGGATGATGAAGCCCTTCAGAATCCAAGGTATGGCAGTGATCGGAGGCTTGCGTGGACGTGTCTTGTGAAGAAGAGAAAATCCCTCTTCCTTTCTAGTCATGGAGAAGCGAGCAGAGAGCCAAGCTTTGGGAAAGAAGCATCAGCAAGTGGTTTTTGTACCCCATCAAAAGACTAAATTGTTGCCAATGTGCCATGCGATGTAGGCATCGCAAGCAATGAGTGGAGCCAAGACATCCAATTTCGCAAGCACCCCGTAAACGCATCAACAATCAAGCAAAGGATGGCAATGGCTTCAGCAGTTCTGCTGCTGCTGCTGCTGTTGCTGCTGTTGCTGCTGCGACGAGAGGACGACTGGTAGGGGTAATATTAGGGGAGGAAGGGTGGCAGTGGGAGTGGTTGTGCCAAGGGCTTATTGCCACAGGGGGTAATGGTAGTAAAAGGAGAATAATTTGCAGCGAGAGCATACCCTTCCCTACGATACCTACGATACCTACGATGAGGATGCGTGGCAGTATTGCCAACCCTCCCAAAAGATGCGGACGGAAGCAAAGAGGGTCTTGGCCATGGTTCAGTTAACTGTTTCGGGGCGGGACACACGCGGCTTGCGGTGCTGGCGCGGGGCCCTGATTGGGGCGAGGAGCTCAAGGCTGACGACGCTTCGCCCTCGCTGCTGGCGTGGATGAAAAAAAATATGGCCCTTTAACCCAAAAGATCCATTTTCTGCTAAGCTACACTTCTTATCCAACCACGCTAAACACTCCCAGAGTCCTAGTACGGGTCCAGTCAATCAGTCAGTTAGTCAGTTAGTCAGTCACCACTGCAGCTGGCACTCAAGTCACTGCGCACTTCCTACAGAGCGGACGGTTTCTTCTGAAAGTGCCTGTCTTGTGTCGTAGACTGCCCCATCCAATACTGCGTGTGGTCTGGTCCTCCTCTCTTCTTCTTCTTCTTCTTCCACCACCACCACCAACACCACTCTACCCTACTACAACTCTTTCTTTCTTCCCCATTCTTCCTCATCATCATCGTCGTCGTCGTCCTCACCTGTTGGTGGACTCCTCCTCACTTTGTAGTTTTATCCACCTTCTTAACTTAACTCTAACCGCTTCTCTCTTTCGTTTCTTTCCCTCTTTCTTCCTTTCTTCTCTCTTCCGCTCCCCTTTCGGACTCCCTTCCCTTCCCTCCCTCTCCTCTCCCAATTCCAATCTTCGCCTTACCCTTTCGGTCGTTCTCGGAGCCACGTCCTTCAACCTACTCTTCACTTCTGTTTCACTTTACCTGTAGCCCATTGTCGATTGGCTTCAGGTTC